TATAGGAAATATAGGAAATATAGGAGGTCTGAAGTAAAAATAGTTTATATGCAAAAATAAAAGATAAACACAAAATGTTTATAAGTATTTCAATTGTTCTCGAGAGTCGATGAATATTGGTTTTATCAGTTGGAGAGTTCCGAAGTAAAGACGCGAAAATAAAAGATAAACTATATGGAAATGATCATAAATATGCTGAACGAAATAATAATGTTTTCAGTGATGTTTAGAATTGCTCAAGAGAGTAGATCTTCCTAATTTCATCAGGTAAAGAGTTCTACAGTACTGGCACTGGGCCAGCGACAGAGTGTGAGGTATTCACGTGAGGAACAGACAACGGGTTGCGTGAGGATGATACTGAGGAGAGTACCTCTTCCAAGGTCTAATTCTGAGGTTTGATTTGTGTTACGCTATCGGCTATTCTATTGGTTGTCATCACCTATCCTACCTATCTTTCTAACCAAGGTCACTTGCAAAGAGCTGTTGTTTGAATTTTAAATTTGTTTTACTTTAGCTTTTGTACAGCCGCTTATCAACCTTCCCCCCTGCGGTGAAAAACAGGGAGATAGCGTCACATTTCTTAATCGTGTTCCGAGGTTCCGTGGGGTCCTCAAGATTTTGAGCAACAATTTAATTAGTTGTTACACTTCTTCTTCGAAATTTAAGAATAACTATTAGATGTTCTCGAAGCAAGCTTGATGTTTGTGCTCTAATAATATAACTCAATAAAAATTAGAGAATCTACATTTAAGTTCACGAGGAGATTCAATCTTTGGAATTTGCTGTAAACGCAGTCTTTTATTCCTACTAAAAAGAAAACAAACTTGGATCGCTTGGTTAACTGCATTGAGGTGTATATAGCACACCAGATGATTATTTTTTCTATGAAGCTTTGCGCGCCTAGTTAGATTACCTGTTGCCTTTACGAAATTCACAAGAAGACTGGTAATGAACTCTTGGTGCAAAGAATTGTCGGATTAATTTACGATGCAAAAAAGCTCCGCCCTTATTATACGCATGCGCACCACGAATTGATGTAACTAGATGCATCTAGTGATACAACTCGAGAAATGATCACAAATTGTTACAATGGCAGAWAGCATGGAGCTTCTAACACGTTCCATATCGATCGATTGTGTATCTGAAATGCATACGTCAGAGGATAAATTATGTTATTATTCAAGAATACAATTTCCGTCCAAGCTGTTTTGAACCCGACAATGATTTTGAAATTCAATTTTTTGTTTTGTTTCTTCCCCCTTCTTGCCAACTCAAAACAAAAACTGCCCCCCAAAAAACAGGATTAAGTTCATGTGCAATACAATACATAAATCTAGGCCCCGTCCACACTATGCCGGATAAAATTTGAATCCGAATTTTTATT